ACAGCTAGTTCTCCTATCTCCTACTCTCAGACAGTTCAGGGCAGATTCACCATCTCCAAAGATGACTCCAGCAGTAAAGTCTATCTACAGATCTTTGAAGAAGAACAGTTTGAAGACTGAGGACACAGCAGTTTATTACTGTGCTTGACGAGAAACACTGAGAAGAAGTAATAGGAGAGTCGTGCAAAAACGACTCCTCTTTTTCATTACCACTTAATAATATAGAGTAGTTTTATATTAGTTGCTCTGATACGCTCTTTTAGTTTTCCTGACTAAAATTTGTCAATACAGGATAAATTACCAGGATTACATTTTATGTGTAATTACTTAAGCACTAACTTTGAAAACAATTACTCATTCAAAACACTTTAAGTACCACAAAACCTTGCTAGGTGTTAAGGAGGGAGACGTGTTAACAGTCTTGCAAAAAGTGTGTTGTAATTTTGCAAGATGAGTGAATGTGCACTCAGTTAGAATACTGGAGACACTGATAGCAGAAATTGTAAAAAAGAGATAACATTTATAAACATTAACATTATGTCTATTATTTGTTTTTACTGAACAGAAACTTGGTCTCAAGCCTCAGGAAGTGGCAAATCAAAATGGTTCACTTAATCAAACAGATCACATATTTATTTCTTTATTTGTTACTGAAGTGATGTCCAAAACTGTCACTCAATTTAAAGTTTATGCAAACATTTACTTACATGTAGCATCCACTCCAGTTTCTCCAGTTAATATGTGACGCTCAGTTAAAGTGAGTTCACATGAGTCTAGTTACCTAATGTGAGGAGGAGTCAATGCAAAACTTACATACCTTACACATGTACTTATGTGACTGCAGGAAGCATAACAGAGAGCAGAAGTCACAAAGTTTAACACAATGGACTGCAGGACGGGGCTGCTGCTATTAGCAATCTGCTGGGCAGGTGAAGATCTACAAGATTTACTCATCAATAAAATTTTGAAAAACATAAAGGAACGGATTATTATTCAATTCTGTTTTTACAGGTATTGATGGTCAGACTCTGACACAGTCTGAACCCGTTGTTAAAAAACCTGGAGAGTCTCACAAACTCACCTGTACCACCTCTGGACTCTCATTTAGTAGCTGGTGGATGGGCTGGATCAGACAGGCTCCTGGGAAAGGACTG